CGGCAGTGTTTCTCAGTCATGGTTCCTCATTTTGATTTGATATCCTCTCTTTCATAATCTTCAATTTTTGTCTAAGAGTCATAAGAAATAAGATAACCTCAATAACAGTTGACAGAGACAAAGAACCCACATCTGAGAAATAGGAGTAATTCATTCCTAGATGAACCCTAGTTTACTTAATGCAAGAACATCCCCCATAGCTCAGAGGTGAAGCAATTGCGTTATCTGGATCTGAAATAGCCACTTCAACATATAGGTGCACGATATCTAATCCAAGCAACCACGAGTTTGTGATCTTGTTGCTCTCCAAAAACTTTTGCGACAAGTCAATTGGCTTGGCAAATTTCATCCTCACACTTGAAGCTATGAATCCACTCTCAAACCAAGGTTTCAAAAAATGCTAGGCGGCCTGCCTGGCGCTCAGAACCTCAGGCGCCCTACAGTGCAAATTCTTAGTTTTTTTTATATATTTGCTATCCAAATGCACATATATGCATATATTTGTGTCAAATTTTGTAATTTATTCCATTTGAAATTGAAAATATCACAAGTTCGCAACATACGTTCTTATATACAAACATATCACATGTCTCAGCCTCTCAGGTAATCATGTTGAGAATAAACTTATTCAAAATTTCGAACCATACAAAACATTTAAACGTCTAATAGGCTATTGTAATGTCTCCAACTCTCATATTCTCCATATTCCATATCCATAAAATAAACCATAATAACATCCAAGTCTCTAACTCTCCAAGTCATCAACAAACTGACTTCTAAAACTATAAAAAAACTAGTAAACCACACAACAAAATAGTCCAAAAAGGCAAAAAAATTGCAAACCACATAACTAAATAAAAATCGTCCAAACTCCAAATGTCTAAAGGCCAAACCAAAATTGTGCAATAAAGTATTAAAGTTACTTCAAAAGAAGATAGAAGACAATCAAGACATCAATAAGAATCAGAATCATCATCTTGATTGCTTTCATCTGCATCAGAATTGAGGCCTTCGTCATCAGAATCATCACCCTCATCAGCATATTCCTTTTCTTCCATAGATTCTTTTGAATCTACCTCCTCTTCCTCTATCTCCCTCCGTGAAGTACCAGCAGAAGAAGTTGCTCGAGTGGCCATCCTAAGATCAGAAGCTTGCCTCGAAGCCTCCTCGACCATTTCCCATGTCAAACCCTCCCCAGGGAAGACCTCCTCAGTACCAGGGTCACTAACTAGCCAATCTGAAGTATTCTCCATGTCTTTCAAAGAGATAGGGTCCTTCTTTGGCTGGTTTTTCTTCTCCTTGAGCCTTTGATTCTCTCTAACAAGCACCAAGTCATTGAGCTTCCTTTGTTCAAGCCTATTTCTTCTCTTTGTATGCACCTATAAGGAAAAATAATGCGTAAATAACTACTATGGGTCTATGATCTTCTTACCTTTTATGAATCTATATTACAAACTGAACTTATAAACAAAAAAAGCATATAAAATTGTAAAATTGTAAAATAGTAAAATAGTTAAATACCATTTCAAACGAACTCCAATTGCGCTCACAACCAGAAGAGGTAGTTGTCAAACACAAGATCCGCATAGCCATCTTCTGGAGGTTTGGAGCACTACTCCCATATTGTCTCCACCATTGAGCTGCAATATGTGGACAACCTTTATAATTAATTTAGGTATTTAACATTATCATAACTTGAAAGAAAATTATAAATTTATACTTTATAAAACAAAATTACATAAGTCAAATAATATTACCTGGTTCGTCTTTGTTTCTATGCCTTAATGCCATATCTTTCCTAAATGACATCAAAGAATACTCGTACAAAATTAGCTCTTCTGTTGATATCTTATCTTAGATATTTGGATCAGGAACTAATTTCTCAAGGCACTCATTAAAACCATCCATAATTACCCCTTTTAACTCGATATCTGTATCTGCATAAGAGAATTTGGGGTTCAAATAGTACCCCGCTGCTTGCAATGGTCTATGGAGCTGCCTATCCCATTTGTCATCTATCTCCCAAATTGGGGCATAATTCGCTGCATCATTGCCCAATTCTCTGCAATCTCATTATTAGCCCTTTCCATTACATCATATATAAAGCCCATGGAGGGCTTATCAGTATCAACCAAGCGCAAGACCTTCACCAAAGGAAGAAATACTAATATCGCATGCTTCACCCCATGCCAAAAATATTTCGAAAGAATAATATCTCATGTCTTCTTTCCCTTGGCATCTCTAGACCACTTACACCCACTCCACTCCTCTGAAGTAACCATAGACCTTAATACGATCCTCCTCTTATACATGCTTTGTAGACTAAGGTAGGCAGTGGCAAATCTAGTGACCCCAGGCCTCACAAGCTCTCTCTTTTTTGTAAACTTGCGCATCATGCTAAGGGTATGTATGTGACTGTATATGAAGATTGTAACCTCCTTAACCTTAAAAATAATTCCTTTAATAGAAGGCAATTCACTAATTGCCTCAAGCATAAGATCTACGCAATGTATAGCGCAAGGAGTCCAAAATATGCGAGGCCTCTTTTGTCGAAGCAAATGACCTGCAGCTAGATTGAGAGCAGCATTATCTGTGACCAATTGAATTACAAGTTCCTCCCCAACCTCCTCAATGCCCTTATCAATGAAAGAAAATATATAAAGTGCATCATGAACATCATTGGAAGCATCGATTGAGCACAAAAAAACTGTACCTATGGGATAATTTACTAATAAAATCATGTTACTCCTCCTATCACTCCACATATCTGTCATCAAAGAAACCCCAAATTTAGCCCATCCCTCCTTATGAGTCTTGAGATATTCGTTAGTGAACTCGACTTCTTTCTTCAGTAGTGGCTGTCCAATCTCATAAGGAGTTGGAGCTTTCAAACCTGGCCCAAATTGCCCAAGTGCGTCCAACATTGTATGGCAGCTATTCAAGCAAGCAGTGTTAAAAGAAATGCCCGCATGGTAAAACCACCGAGCAATATACTAAATCACCCTTACTCTATCTTCCTTTTTAAAACTCTTTTCAATTGTCACTTGTTTTTTCCCCCATGCCTTTCTCAATTACTATCTCAGGGCTAGGTGTAAAAAAACTATCTATAGGCCCACTTGTACGAGCTTTCTTAGACCCAAAAGCCCTATTGATCTTAGAGCTCTGAGTACCAACCATGGCTACCTCTTCTTCCCCCTCTTCATCATCATCTTCTTCAGTTTCAATATTATCATAAAAAATATGAACCCCTGACTTTAATTCTGCTATATCCTTTTTTTTTGCAACTTTTTTACTCTTTTCAGCTTCAATGTACTCCAAAATTTCTTTCTTTACAAAATCTGGGACTTTCTTACATGGGACAACATCATCTCTAATACCTGCAAGATGTTTCTTAAATCTATTTACGCTGGCATTAGAAACATGCCTGCAGAAATTGCACATAATTTTATTTTTTTCATGCTTATCAGGGTTAACACAATATTTCCATCCCGGATCTCCACCCCTAGTAGACCTCGTAGAAGACATCTCAAATTGACAAAAAAAAACTCAAATAAAGATTATAGACTGACCTTTTCTACCTAATCTCTGATCTTCAATGTTGGTTATCCCAATCGAGCTACGAATCAGCTCAAAAATCTTCTAATATACTACCAATAGCACCCTAAAAATAATTTCAATCAGAAAAACAAACTTTTTCAATCCACAAGAAGTACTTTTTCAGCAATTGCTTTAGATTCTCCTAAATAAGTTTAAGATTGAGGGTCTCTTGTTTTTTTTTAGTTTGGGGTTGAAAAATAAACCCCTAAACTTCTTTTATACAAACTTGGGGGTCAAAATGACCCTCTTTGCCCTTTTGGGCGAAGTTTAAAATAAAAAAGAAAGTAAATTGTGCTGGGCCACCCGCCCAGATATAGCCGCCCGTGTTGGGGCCCCAGGTCGAGGCGTGCAGAAATTTTTTCTGGGCGCCGGGCGGATTGTTTTTTTAAACATTGACTTTAACTAAGTGATATATCTTAATGATGCCATGAAGTCCAAAACCAGAAACGATCCAATATGTAGGGAACAAGGAACCAAGGAAATGAGGCAAAAGCACTCCCTACTGGACCAAGAGTATTCTTTATGCATTCTTATGTCCCCTCATGACCAAGGGCCATTCGTTGAACATCATCAGCAATGCCAAAGAGGAAAGCAAATTTTTTGATATCATTGAAATTATTGATTCATGGATAATCCTTTCCACTTGTGTCCCTAGAGATGCTAATAAGATCACTGACTCTCATTTCTCAAGTGGGAACTTTGATAAATAAAAAATTCAAAAGGGCACCCACCTCCTTTCGTCAAAAAAAAAAGGAAGAAGAAGAGAGAGAGGGGGGGGGGTGCACCACCTCAACGACTTGAGCTGTAAGCCTTGTACACAGCATATATTGATGCAATCTAGTGTATTATGTTTGCATAAGAAAAAGAATTAGCCTTCCAAAAGAAAACCTAAACAAAGTGCATGTCTATGTTAAATTTACAACCACGCTAAAGAGTGACAATTTAAGTTATTTGACCACAATCCACATCTCTAGGTTTGCTGCAATCCTCTTCTTACTTTGTCCCACATATTCCTCTACTTCCAAACAGCTCATAAGAACATGTATATGAAAAAAATACACAAATAAATATAAATTATAATAACAACTCATAATAGTAGGTAATCATCATTATAATCCTAGCCTTAACTCAACTATTTGGGGTTCCGCATAATAGCACGTAATGTGAGAAATAAAAAAGACCTCGTTGCAAAAGTCCATGAGAGCATATAAAAACAGCAGTTAAGGAGTAAAACAGCTAACAAGTGCATGAAGTAAATCTATAAATGATTTTCTAAGGTTTATGGGAGAAAGAAAAGAATACAAACACATCAGATATATGTCCGAACTCCATGGAGAGAGAGAGAGAGAGAGCTAGAGAAAGAGAGAGAGAGAGAGAGAGAGAGAGAGAGAGAGAGAGCTTACTTGCATCTCATAATAACCGGCACAGGCTTCAATGCCTTCGGGCCATTGCGTATCCTTTTCTTATGTGGTGTTACCTGCACATTGGTCATCCCCATTATAAGGGCCTTACGAAAGAAAGATCGACATACAAATAACAATTGTAGTTCCACTGCAAATTGGTTATAGTAATGCATATCCAATTTATAGTTTACAATCGCATGCAGACGCATGCACACCCAATTTATTGAACACATTTATTATGTTTCTTTTGGGTTAAATCAGCATGTTTGCCCAAAATTAATCCAATGATGCGAGTTCATAAAATCTTAATTTAAAAAAAAAAAAAACAACGAAAGCCCAAATTTTCTAAATGCACAAAAAGCAGTTGCAAATCGATGAGACCACCCAAATCAGACACTATTACACTTAGAACTTATCATTCTTTCATGTGATTGTTAAAAATTAAAAATGAATAATTCATTGCCTTCGTGAAAGAGAAAACACAAAGTAGAAATCATCATTATCATCATCAAAACCGTTTTCCAACTAATTGGAGTCGGCTGCATGAGTCTTGATCCGTCATTCTACTCTATTAAAAGAAAAATACCCTTAATGAGGCTATAAGCCCCATATCTTTTTTCTCAGTACTTTTAACCATGTCTTTTTAAGTTTACCCTTGCCCTTCATGAGCCTTCCACTTTAACTAACTTATACTTCCTAAGGTATTGTACTGAGTATGCACCACACATACTTCCTAAGGTATTGTACTGAATATGCACCACACATGGCAAGTTTACCTAAGTCTACTTTCTCTCATTTTATCGCCTGTTGGTGCCACACCTAAATTCTCCTTAATGTATTCAAAACACATACATGGCAAGCTTATCTAAGTCTACTTTCTCTCATCTTATCACCTGTCCACGCCGCACCTAATTTCTCTTAAATGTAATCGAAACACAGTAAAAAATAACCCTTAAAAAATTCCGAATTGATGTAATCTTTCTCAAAAAAAAAGAAAAAAAAAAATTTTCTGAAATACCGGATGTTGATTACATCATTTGCAGGGGAAAAAGAAACTAAAAACACAATGTTCCTTTTTAATTGTGGGTCCCAGGTCTTCTCCAAAACTGAAACAACTAAGAAACTACACCATAGTAAAGCAGTAATAGCCACCTTTCAGGATCGTATGGAAACCACGGGAAATGTTCTGATAAAAAAAATTTACAAAAAAATGATGCACAAGAATGAAAATTCTGAGAAATATTGAAATAAATGATCGTTAGTACCTTTTTCTTGGGAACAGCCATGAGCTGAATCGACCCAAATGGAGATATATTGGGTGCTTCAGTTTTGGGGCATAAATCTTTATAATGTGAATTTCCTTCTGATAAAAATGGGGTTTTTCTCACATTAAACCGACCCAAATCCTCTGGAATATTATCAAATGGAAGATCGACTGCCCTAGATAAGGGCGCAGAGATGGAGAAATGATTCCATCTCTTCTGCGTAAATTCATGACCCAGAAAAACCATGGCTCTTTTCATTGAAACGAAAGCCATTTGGTTTCGATTTCTCCAATTTCTTTAATGCTAAACCCTAATGCTTTAACTCTAGCCTGCTAAACCCTAATCCCTAAAGCTGCTTTGATAAACCCTATATCCCAAATCCTAAATATCTCTCTCTATCTCAAAGTCTCGTTTGAATACTCTGTCTCTCTCCACCCCACCTCTCTAAAGTAGTACCAGTTCAAGATACTCTCCCTACAGTAGTATTGGTCACTGTAGTTAGCAGTTGACGTCTAAACAATGCTGCATATCGAGTTCGATTCGAAATAGACTCCAAGGAAAAGGGCAAGCTTTCTATGCTTACCCTACGGCATCGAAGTTCTATCCTCTGTCGTATGCAACCCTCCATTCAAAATGGAGGGTTAACATTATCCGAATTATAATATCACGTTTCTATAGTATTTTTTTGTTAAAAAAAAATTTATAAACTATTTTGACACCAAACTTTAAACGTCCATTCCTATATTAAACTCACACCAGCAAAAAATATAAACAAATATTTTCAATCAAATAAAATAACCAAAATACTTTTGAAAAGTTCAAAGAATATTTTGATCATTATATTTTTTCAAAAAATTATTTTTAATATTTTTTATAAGTGCGTCCCAATGAGAAGATGACACAAACCAAA